ACCCTGCCCCTGGGTGCACACAACCACACACACACACACACACACACACACACACAGTCACGGGCATGGGGCCAAGCCAGTCTCGCTTCTAGGCCAGGAACAAACCCAGGGCTGGGGTGGGTGAGGGCTATTGAATCACTGACTCCAGAGGTCCCCCAGCAGTCGGGGCTGTCCTCAAAGGGACCCACAGCAGGTCTGGGGCGCTGTTCTGCCAGGAGCTGACCATGCCAGGCTCCTCACAATACCCTGAAGAAATCTCCCGGGAGAGAGCGAAGTCCCCAGGGAAACCAGTCAGCCTGTCCAGGGCAGGCCAGCCTGGGGACACTGGTCAACAGCCCCGCCCTGGGTGCTGGCTTGCCAGATGGCTCAGGGCCGATAATTCTGGATCAATGTAGCAAAAGAGGTGCCCTTGTGAAGTCAGTAGCACGGTCCTGGAGTGAAGACCCAGCCTTTCCCGTCTTCTCCTGAGTGCGTTCCTACCACTTTAATTCAACAGGCATTTACCAGGCTCCAGCTTGGTGGTGGTGGTGGGGGGGGAGGGTACCAAAATGAAAACAGGTGTCTGCCCAGGTGTGCTCTGTCTGGTGAGTAATGCCTTCGGAGCCCTGGGGGCACATAGATCAGGCTTCAGCTACGGGTCCTCTTTACTAAACTTCCATCCTCTGTGTTGGATGGACAGGGATCCGGGGTGCCAGGCCGGGGGAAGAGTAAGCACCTGGCCATTTGGCTGATTCTGCTCATTTCAGGCTGCCGTTGCCGGGGGCACGCGGGCCACCTGGTTCCAGCTGGCTTTGGGCCGGAGGTCAGATCTTACCCGCACCTCACCCAGTCCGGCCCTAATCAGTAGACGCCCAGTCTTGGCTCCCAGTTCCCTCCCATTTCAACTAGTCTGGTTTCTCTGGTGAGATTAACTGCTCCTTCTCCCCTCAGAGGCAGAGAGCCTGGCAGCCAGAGGACTAAAGAGATGGGCCCATAGCCTCTCCCACGGGGTCTCTATCTGGCTCAGGACCCAAGTAGGAACAGCTGGGGGGAGAGACCTGATTTTGGGAACACTCCAAGTTCACTGGCTCTCCTTCTACATTCCTAGCTGCAAAGGGCCCTGGTGCCTACATCCTTCTGGGAGAACCAGAGAAGATCTGGATTACCTGGGGGTCTTGCAGTTGGCCTTTATCCTGGAAGGTTCTGAGCAGTCAATTTAGTTCATAACAGCTGCTATCAGTTATGACCTGACCCGAGCCATACTGGTTCCTGCACACCTCTCAGGTCCCCTTTGACAGGTCAAGGTTGAGGCAGTCCGACACGGTTGAAGTTTGACCATTTCCACCCAAGCTCACTGTCAGATTAATGAAAGCCACTCTGCCACGGGCACAGACTTCTATTAGAGAAACGTGTGGGAGCGAGCAGGCCCCAAACAGCTCCTGTCCTGTGTACCAGAAGGCCGATGAAGCTCCTGTTCTGGGTCCTACTGGGTGTCCTGACCGCCATTTTGCAGACTGCCGAGATTCCAGAGGCTGGGTCCTGGTCAGCTTCCCTGGGCCTCAGGTGGCCAGGAGTCCTCCTTGGGAATGGCCGCCCACAGGGCAGTTTCTGGATCAAGTTGTGGTGCCAACCCTAAGGGTACAGACTATTGCCTGGCGCGGGTTCTCATAACCTGTTCACTCAGGGGAGTGGGAGAGTGGGGAGGATCTCTGAAGTATTTTAGTCAATCTTTTTTTTATTAGTTTTATTTTATTATGTTATGTTAGTCACCATACATTACATCATTAGTTTTGGATGTAGGGTTCCATGATTCATTGTTTGTGCATAACCCCCAGTGCTCCACGCAGAACGTGCCCTCCTCAATACCCATCACCAGGCTAACCCATCCCCCCACCCCCCCAGAACCCTCAGTTTGTTTCTCAGAGTCCATCGTCTCTCCTGGTTCGTCTCCCCCTCCGATTTCCCCCCTTCATTTCTCCCTTCCTGCTGTCTTCTTCTTCCCTTTTTTTTTAAACATATAATGTATTATTTGTTTCAGGGGTACAGGTCTGAGATTCATCAGTCTTGCACAATTCACAGCACTCACCATAGCACATACCCTCCCCAATGTCCATCACACAGCCATCCCATCCCTCCCAC